AAAGACAGTGGTCAGCGATGGTCAGTTAGCAGTTTTTGTGCCTATAAATCCTCGCCTACAGATAATACTTAGTCATTTAATACATAAATATTAGCATTCAAATATTTTTAGGACGAGGAAAATTACCAGCAATTCAGGAAACCTCAGAGCGTAGCTTCTCAGATAGCGACCCTCATGTAATTATACATTATTTATCTTCACTAAATTTCCAAATATTTCTTTGGAGATTTTTTTTGCTTGACAAAAGTTGCCAGTTTTCGATTTTTGTGTTAATTTTGTGACAAAATTATTTATAAAATTTTAATATAAATCTAAAAAATATAGGATTTTTTGCAACTTGATTATGGTTCTAATATGGATATGGGTTTTCGACGTTACATGCAAGGAAGAGGAAAAGAATTCCTGGGCAAGTTTTTGCATGACTATTTTATTTAGTAAACATTACGGAATGAGCCGACATAAAAATACAACTCTAGGCAACTCATCCGTAGCAGGGGGAATTATTCGAGAGAGGGGAATTATTCAAGGGAGGGGAATTAATCGAGTAAATACGGTAATCGGGGTTTTTCTTCAAACTGATCCGATCAAGGTTTCCAACCTGATCCGATCGAGTTTTCCATTGTTGTTAGACTAAACGACAACAACAAATAGGAAAATCTTCAACAAATCCGCGAACAGGATTGGATTTGGGTAATTAGATCAAAAATATGTATGTAAATGAATGTCTCATACTAATTTGTTTGGAAATTTCCAAAAAAAATTTTGGTTTCCTAAAAAATGTTCAGATCAGGCACACCGCCACACATTTGGTCATCCTTCTATCAACCCTCACCATGGCACAACTCAACATTATCAACAGCAGCAGGGAGGTTCAACTCATACTGGTCAACATTTTCAAGGGCAATATCCTAGCGAGGGTCCTTCAAGTGCTGGGGATGATGATACGGAAGAATAGAAGGTTTTTGTATAATCTTTTGAGTTTAATATTAAATTTAAAGTGAGTGATTAGAAGCAAATTTATGCCACATTTGGCGTGTAACTCAAAAGATTGGTAGAACATTCAAAACAAAATGGGATTAGATTTTACTAAAGTTTTTTATTTTAGACACTATGTGTCATACTTGGGAGTTGAGAGATTTTTTAAAACATTTCCTGACAATGGAAGATTCCTAAGGTTGAGGTCTACTGAACTTATTAAATATTTCTGGAATTTTTTGATTTTAAAAATCGTACGCTGAGGGTTTTCAGAGACAATTTTTCTGCGAAACTCGGGACACCAGACCAGGAACGTTCGGGACACTATTCTATAGGCAGTGGTTGAGCTAATATTTATATCTCTACTGAAGAAAGGAGATATTCAAACCAGACCTGCTCATGGACCGGATATGGATACAGATAATATCAATACGGATACTAAAATCAGTATCCGTGAGCAGGTCCGATTCAAACTGTACATGTAATTCTTTGAGTGAGTGTCCAGTTGAAAAAATCTTTAATCTCTCAACTCTAGCCTCACTCTCCATTGATTTTTTTGTACTCTCTTTTATTTTTAAATCTTCCTACTCTTCCCGGTAGAAAATTGGGTTAGACTTGTGCCCTTCGATTCAGGGCCCCTCGTTCAGGGCCAATCCGTTCGGCCATCCAACCGCCCATCGGTAGGTGCAAATTCGATGATTATTAGCAGCCGATGTTCATTTCGTTTGCTCTTTTTTTTTCTTTGTGGTTAGTGAGCGGTATCCGCATTTATTTATTTTTATATTCAATTTTATTTTTTAACTAGATAAATTTTTGATTTGGGTATATCTAGAAACAAGTGGCTTTGTATGATTATTCATTCCTTTAAAGTCCGTTCCAAAAAACCTAGACACCCTCAACTTTTTCGATTAAGTCGATTTATGGCTGCTTGCTTTTTATAATCCTCTTATACCTATATGGATTCGGCATCAAAAGCTTTACAGACCTCACAAAAAACTGGCTTATCTTCTGGGATAGATTTCTGAGGAGAGATTTTTTATTGATAATTAGTCACTGCGGAATTTATTTAAAGTATATTTGAATTTTTTCTCTTTCTGTCCCACGGCATCCTTTGAAAGTGAATCGGAAATTTGTTGAAAAAAATCACATAAATCTTGCGAAAGGAAAAAAAAGTGGAGGGGGAAAAGTTTCGCGCGAGTTTTCTCTCTTCTGCATTGAATATGTACTTTTAGAATTTATAAAAAAATTCCTCAAATATTCCAATGCCGACAAATTAAATGCCGAATACTCATTAATAGAGGACGGATTTTCATTGATATAAAGGTCGGATTCATTGATGAAATTATTTCAATATTTAGCCAATTTTCCCGTTATTTCAATAATATGCATTTTTTGAAAATTATTTCAATATTTTTGCATATTTTCATCAAAATTTTGATAAATTTTAGAGCAACTTTGATAAATTTAAAAAAACATTCCTTAAACCTTTCTCAAAAATACAAATACCCCCAACCTTTCGATTTTTGTTGGGGATCTCGAGGGATCTCCAAGGTAGCAAGTTGCCGCTTAAGCATAATTATAATTAAAAAGTAGGACGGTTAAAGAAGTCATTACCTAAAGGTTAGAAAAACTAGCCTAGTAAAGAAGTAAAGAAAAATCTGGCAACCGCGCGACGCTTACATCACATGCTTCTCCCTCCTCTTCTCTCTAATCGAACACTCCCCCTCAAACTCTTCTCTTTACTAAAAAATCTCCTCATTATTAAAAAATTTGCCCATCCTACCCTGCCTTGCCATCTTTAAAAATTAAATTTAATGATAGCCTTTTTAAATTCCCCCCTCTCCCCCACATTTATAATTTCTGATTATATGTATAACTCCTATCATGGACAGCCTATTATTTGAATTTTATAAATTATCTTCTGGGTTTTATAAAGATATGTACAATCAACGATCTTCAATTTAGTTACATGCTCTCACCACCAACCTCTCCCCACCATGCTCTCCCCACCATGCTCTCCCCAGGGATGGAACAATATATCTTGATCAGGGATGGTCTCTCTAAAGCCGATCCATCTAAAATGCAGATGCATATATCAAAAATCTCGGAGTCAATAGCAAGGTTCTAAAAGGTCCCGATTTTATGGCAGAATCCCGATCCAGCCAACTCTACTCTCGAATTAAAAGAGGTTAGAATTTATATAGGGATTATGCAGGATATCTTACTCCGATTATATCAGGGATTACTCCTATTAGGCCGCAGGCAAAAGATGATTGAGTCTTTCTAATCCATTTGAAAATCCTCGAATATATTCCATACTATTTCCTTATAACGTCGAAGGCGAAAATTTTGAGAATTTTGGAAGGCCAAGAAGCCAAAAATCTTTCCTTTTGGCGGCAAAAAATAGTAAATTGAAAGGAAAAAACAGAGAAAATCGAAAATTCGAGCAACTCTAGTCGCAAGACGCTAAGCGAGCGACACTCCTTAATGCCTTTCTATTAGCAATGCTGTCATTTCTCTTGGCCTTCCTCTCTGCGCATTCATCATTCTTATTAAGTCGCTCGATGATTTCTTAAATTTATAATATTTTTTCCTTTAAATAAATTATTTAAAAGTTTTTTTAATGCTAGTAGCAATTTGAAGTTTGTTCACCGATTTCGACCTATAATATTCAGCAGACATTGTAATGGATACGGATTATCCGGATACCCGCGGATATATACAGATACGGACGAATATGGATAGTGTTTTTTCATAAATCGGACGGTTGCGGCTCTGTCCTAGTACCAGAGGTGGGTCGGAACAGTTAGAGGGTTCGGAAATCGGAAGAGCCGGAAATCGGAACTGGCTCGAAAGTCGGAACTCGGAAATCAGAATTTTTTTCGGAAATCGGAAGGAAAAAACGTCGGAACTCGGAATTCCGACCCACCTCTGAAGTAACAACGGGGATCTCCTTATCCTCATTTTCTCCTCAACTCTTAGGAGGTGAAGCTTTGGAGGAGTTTCTTCTTAATATTTATGGGAATTCTGCAAAAATTGCAAAAAATTCTGCAAAATTTTTTTTAAATTTTTCTCTAAAATTTAATTATACAATTTTATATGTATTTTTATTTTTTTCTCTAGGCATTACTTCTCACTAGCAATAATGCGACGTTTACCTAGAATCGCGCGCATGCCGCGACAGAAAAGATGAGGTGAAAAGGGAGAGGAATTTCTCCTTTCTTTTGAATTTTATTTTCTGTCGCAAGACGCAGAGCGACGTTTTTTAAACGCCTCTTAATGCCTTCCCATCCATCCTGCTTACCATCCCTCCTGCCAATCTTCATTTTTACCAAGTCGCTCAATAATCACTTTTACCAAAATACATAATATTTTATTTTAAATTAATAATTCACTTTAAATTTTAAATGATAAGGGAAATTTTGAAGGTTTTCTCCGACATATCACATAAGAAACATCTCGAGATTCCTAGCTATTTAATTTCTAAATTTAACAGAATGTGGTTATTTTTAATATTCACATTTATTACCACCTTTTACAAAAATGTAACACCTTTGTCGGTATTCGTAAAGATTTCTTGGCGAGATGAAGTTGAAAATGTTGGGGATTATTATCCCCATCTGTCCGATAGAGAGACAGGACGGTTCAATTTACAATTGACTAGCAACACTTCTGGGTTTACAATGGATGCTGTGACAGATGCATATGACACTCATCACTTTATACAAGCTGAAAATGAAGGTGAAGAGTTAACTGACAACTATGAACTTCATATCTCAATCAACGGGCCTAGTGTGGGTTATTCATTATTTTAATCTTTCTTCAGAGATCAAAACTCGACTAAAATTTGAATTGAAGAGGATGGAAATAAGAATTCTGGTTTCAGGAAAGAGGTCTTTAATGATGAGTGGAGGGTGGTCTTTAATGCTTTAATCTTTAATGTTGTACTATTAAAGGGGGAGAAAGAGAGAGAGAGATTGTGTCGGTGGAGAGAGGGAATGTCATTTAACGTTAAGAGAGAGGGATCCCTTAATGTTAAAAGGTAGGTGATCGCATTGATGGTAAAGAGTTGGGGAGATAGGGAGGGAGTCATGAACGTGGAGAGAGGTGTTATTCAATGTTAAAGAGGATGGGTAGTCAATGAAGGTGGAGAGAGAGAGAGACTTTGAATTTAGTGAGGAAAGGATGAGAGAGACTATAAATTTAGAAAGGAGAGGATGTAATTAAGAGTAGAGAGTGAGAGGCTCTATTGATTGAAGGGAGGGGGTCTTGAGCGAGGAGATTGGGAGAAGGCTTCATTGAAGGTTGAGAAGGCATTAATCTTGGAAGGAAGGGTTTCATTGATGGTTGAGAACGGATTAATTTGAAAGGAGTGGATTTTATTGAAGTTAGTTTATTCTTATTTTTCAGTTAAACCTCGGCTCTATAAACGGGATTGAAAACAATTCAATAATTTATGTCGTTCATCGAAAAGATAGCGCACCAAAATTTATAAAATTAACAAAACAACAAGACCCGAATAATTTTGACTCAATGATAGAATTGTTTAAACGTCCTGTTCGTGTTATGCAATTTTATTGGAAAGATCCAAAGCCTTCGGATGAAAAGAAAAATGTGATGATTCTGTGTAAAGAGGAAGTTAACCCAAATTTTGGCGTGATTTTAAATACTAATGAGCAAACGAAAGTATATCTTTCACAATATGTCAGAAGTAAAGTGTGCCCAAATGATGAATATTTGTTTGTTATAAATGAAGATGGCATTCAGGTATAATAACATTGAGATCAGATACGCCACAATACGTTGTTTACCCACTGGTTGGAGGAGATACCTGAACGATATAACTTGTTTAAGTTACATCTTATAAGTAGGATTGGTGAATCTGAATATCCAGATACGAAAAAAGCCTGCTCTCCGAAAAAGTTCGGATCGGATATTGGCTTAGGATATGCGTGGAGTTCCCAGTAGCCACCAACCCTAATCATGGATATATTTTATCATGACTTGAGGATTGTTCTCCATCATTGCTGAGACAGCCCTAAAGTTTTTAGCTTAAAAATAGTTCAAAACGCCAAAACGGAATGCCAAACAAAGGACATTCCATGTCTCTCTCCATCAAAGGACATTCCATGGCTTTTGGTTGAGGCCTACTCTCCTAAAAATTTCGGCCCTAAAGTCCATGTCCTTTGGTTGAGAAGTCCATGCCCCTTGGTTGAGAAAATAATATACTGTCGGCCCCCTTAGCGAATATTACAGTTAAGTTTTCCGGCAACTTTTTGCATTGCTTTCAATAACCTAATTATTGCTGCTAACGTTGTTCATAAGTGATATCACAATATTTGAAGTGTCATGCTCAATTATAAATAATACCTTGGAACAAATAATGGGACCTGTAATCATTCGATCCCTTTTAACACATAACGAATTTATTTAAAATTAAGGTAGAGTTGAATTGTCAACCAGCAATTCATTCAAGTCCAAAATTAAATTTTTATCAAATTGTTTTTAACGGTCGAACAAAAAAATTTGAATGTAATTTAATTGAAAATAGAAATAAAGTTATACAAAATTATTTTAATAATGTTGACTCTGCAGAAGAATATGTGAATCATTTTATAGACCAATACTTTGTTGAACAAAATGCAGTTGCTATTGTCGAGGGTAAGAGGGCTCGACCTTTAAAGAGGGATCGGATTGGGCTTATAAACCTTCATTGGATGTCTAAACTAGACCAGATTTTAAATTATTATGCGGTATAGGCTCGATATAACGAATTTGAAAGGACTAAAAATGAAGTTGGATCGAGGGATAGACGTTTGATTTATCAATAGATTAATTATATATGCAATGTTTTTCGTTGTTTTGGAAATGGGGATGTTAGTAATGCTCGGGTATCCCGACTGCCGACTCGGGAAAATTTCCCGAGCTTTTGGCCTCCCGATCCCGACTCCCGGTATCCGATTCCCGAGTTTTATTCCCTCACGAGCATCACTAAGGGATGTTATTGACAACAATCAGGATCTTGAGATATAAACATAAAATTCCCTCACAAGCTGAATGGGGATAAGATACTATCTCTCCTTATCTCTCATTTACCGACCTTTCAACAAACCCATTAAATATAGATCATCAACAACAACCACCACAAAGTCGTTCACCTATGCAGCCAGATACTGGTCTACGTCTTGGGAGAGGAGGGCATCAACGTAGTCAAACACAAAAAGGGAAAGCAACTAAACAACCCAAATTACCTAAAGGTAAAAAGGCCAAATGTCAGCAACACCCCAATGCACCTCAAGAGCAGATCTTTATGCCCTTTGATCATCAAAGAGGACAAAATGAATTGAAGCAAAAAATGGTACAAATTATACAACAATTACCTCCAGAGCTCATACAAACAATGACTAACTATATGTACTACCTTTTTACGCTTTTACCAGAACCACAGACACATCAACCGATCCAGACAACTTCTGAGGGTGGTCAACCTGCTCCTGCTGGTAGGAATTAATAATATTTTGGTACTATCGAGTTATCGGCCCACATTTTTATTTTCTTTACTCTTGATGAGGTAAAGAGAAGAGGTAAAAAATGAGGTAAAGAATAAAGTAAAGATATCTTCACCACATTGAAAATGACAGCAGATATATCTTATCAACTACCGTTCTCTAGAATTCAAAGCCGGACCTTGATATAGATCTGCATTACCCTGACATTTGAAGATAATCATAATATTCAGGGATTTTTGGCTTTAAACCCAAGCTTGGTCCATGTAACTTTGGTCCAAGACTTTGGTCCATGTAAAAATCAAGTCCTGAATTAGAAACCGAAGGTTTCAAAAATCTGACTATACATTTTAACATTATTTACCATTTTACACCCTTGCTATTTATAGCAAAAACGAAATGTGGGCGATATAGTAGTGGGCGATATAGGCGATATAGTACCGATATTTCTACAATAAAAATTAATTCTGATTTCGAAAGGCCCCCCACTGTCTATGAACTCAATACATGCACTGAATCATCTGCAATTTCTTGAAGCTAATGATTGGCAACTATGTAATACAAATGCTATAAGCAGTTATGAATATCGTATTAGAGCACATTTAACAAGTCTACTAAGACAATATCTTTTTCCGCGTCTTAATGAATACCATGTTGATACATCGTGAGTTTTGGAGTAGTTTAAAGGTTTATCTATAAGGGTAGCCAGCGAGCAGGATTCAAGCGATTCAGGAACCTTCTACAACTCTGATAATGCTCGCTCGGCCTTACTCATCACACCTATGCAGGTGTTCTACCACTGACAAGGGAACCTCACGAACTGCTAGTCAAAATTTCGTACTTTTTTGGTACCTATTGGTAGAGCATCGTCGATTTACTCTAGAAAATTTTTGCCTTTTTTGGCTAGGAATATGAAACTAAAAAGTTATGGCGCTTATAAGTTTTCGAAAAATGGGATGACTCCAGCGTTTTTAAATACACTCTCCTAGATTTGTTAACCCCATATTTTTTTCTTATGTTTTGTAAATGTTTGATAATTTCAATTATTTAACATAAATTTCATGTTGTTGACCATTTTTGAAAAACTTTTAAAATTAAGTGGAAATGTACATCGAATTCCTTATCAACAACAACAGTTCTATCAGCAGCCTTTTCAACAACCTTACCAACAACATCCCTATCAACAACAACATCCTTATCAACAACCTCAAGGACAACAGCCTTATCAACAACAACCAACAACATCTATCCAGCAAAGTGCTGGTCCACACACTGGAATTCGTATTTCGGAACGTCCTCAAGCTCGACGTCAACAAGGTCGTCGTAACAAGGACGACGCATCTGGTAGATGGATATAATCATTTAAGGCTAACTTGCAAATATTTTTAGATAGAAGAAAATTAGAAAAATTACCAGCGATCCAGGAAACTACTGAGGTTGAATCGTCTGATAGCGAACAACCATTGAACCCTAAAGTAAATAAGAAAAATTTATAATAAAATATAACTACTGAATTTCCTAATATGAAGGGATACTCATTTCCTACTCATGAGCATTACAGTGGAAACTAGAGGGGGTTTAGAAATAAAATGATCATTGTTCCATTAAAAAAAGGGCAGTGATTGACATATTAAGTATCTGTGTAGTTTACGTCCCATAAGCCCCGTTCTTTTTCTCTTCCTTTTTATGAAGGAGGAAAAAGGGGCCTTAAGTCAATAAAATGAAAATATCCAAATATAATAAGAAAAGGAAGAGAGAAAAAAGGGGGCGGGGCTTATGGGACGTAAACTACACAAGTATCCAAGTTATTATATAAAAATTTATTCAATTTTATTACAATTTAAAAACTACAGGCTATACAATCTGATTATGTTCCTGATGAAGATATTGGACGCTACTTGAGAGCCAGCAGAATGGGGCTCTTGGGCAAGTTTTTATCATCATTCTTTAATTAACACATTAAAGTATACTTAAATAATCTCTCGTCCAGGAACCTATCCCTGTAAACAAGATAAGGGAACTGGTTTACGGATCTGTAGAATAATCTAATATTTGGAACTTAAGCGTATAACAATTTAAATTTTGATAAAATTGCCCTTATGATTGAGTAGCTACGGTATAATCTCAATAGCACTTATTCCTGTTAGCGAGTCCCTCACTTTAATAAGTCTAGGTCCAGAGGGATATGCTTAAATGGATAGGGATATTGACCTCACGGTTATATCCAAATTCGCATAGCAATATCCGCGTCCATCCAGAGGTCTGGGTTTAACGTCAAAATAATTATTACAGAGGATGTTGTTACTAGACCAAGTCAACAACAAGAAACAGGAGAAACATCAACAAATCCACAACCTAGATTGAATTTAGGTAATGTGAAATAATTCTTGAAAAAAATTTTTCTGGAAATTTTTTCAAACAATGTTAAGATTCAGCACCCCACCAGACATTAGGTCATCCTTCTACCCTCTCCGATTATGTTCCAACCCAATATCCTCAGCAGCAACAAGAACATCATTTGCAAGGGCAAGAACCAAACCAGGGGACTTCAACAGCTGCGGATGACTTTTTTCGACAACTTTTTGACCCTTAGGTTTTTATCTACAAGTTTATTTGTTTAATCTCGATATTTTAAGTGAGTGAGGTTAGCGGCTATGTATTTATCCCTCAATCGACGTATACCTCAAGAAAGTTGGGAAGAACATTCAAAGCAAAAAAGGGATTTTAAAGGAACTTGTCAGTTAGGTACACCGCAATTTATTCGCAAGACACCCCCTACCCCCATTATTCAACATAAATTCGCCCAAGTAAGCGCGCGGCCATAACATACGGCTATAATTTGCTGGAAATTTTCTGGCCTTTATCAATTTTGGTAACAATCTCTTTAGCTCGATGAGAGGAATCGTTTAATACTAAAGTTGGTAAAATTCGAAAATCTTGAAGCAATTTATGGCTTTGCGTCATTATGGTCGCGCGCCTACTTGGGCTGTACCTATTTTATATGCATTCCTGCGAAAGTTTTGCCTTCGTCTTTTGGGTATCATTCACTGAATTTTCGCACTTTTTGGGTGTCTTTCGCTCTACTCTGTATAGAAGTTATTCTTGTGCACGTCGGCAAATCTCGGACAACCTTCGGACATAACAGCTTTTCGCAGATTTTCGACTTTTTTGGACCATTATTCGCTTTTTTTAAATTGACTTTCGTTACCCCCAGGGTGTTCCTTTTGCCTCTTTTTAGAGGCATTTTCCTCTTTTTTGACCTTCTCG